GTGGTACTAGGGGACATAGTTTTGTGGAAAAATATTGCTGGTAGGTGGACGGTTGGACTAGATGATCTCGGCGGTCTTTTCCAACCTTGGTGATTCTATGATCATTTTTGAAGATGGAATACATACAAACTTACTTCTGCAATTCTTTGCTAGTTAACACGCAGTGCTCCAGTCTATTAAACAAAAGCAGTATAAATATTAACAAATTAATTTTTAGAATATGCATTTGGGATTTAATAGATTGATACTTGTATCAAATCAGAGAAGTAAAATGAAGTGTAATTTTGAAGTATTGAAATTCACATTTATTTATGCACTCACACCTTAAGCTGTTTTGCTTAGTATTGGATTTTTTGAACACTGATTGTGAGATGCTAAGAAAAGATGCATATTTAACAAGGGATACAAGTAGTGGCTTTCCTGTGTTTACAAAATAAGCCAATGGCTTGGCCAGGAGCCGGATATCTCTGCCACAGTGACTGCCTTCCTGCCTTACAGCATAGCACATGTCACTACTTAGCTGTGAGCAGAAGATGCCTCTGAAGCTTTCCCACAAAGACTTGCTTGTTGTACAAGCTGTAAGAAAAGCTTATCAGCCTACAGATTATAAAAAAATGACTTTTCCCCAGGAAATGCCAGCTAAACTTCTCTTACTAGACATTGAGAACAAGCTAAAATTAATATATTTGAAGACTACCAGTTTTGTCTGAATAGATCAGTCCTTCCAACACTTGCTCATAGTCTTGAGCACATATTCTTGTTCCTCTCCAAGTTTATGATTTCTCCAAGTCTGGCACCAGAGTTTGTCACCCCAGATTCTGCATTCCTTCTCAGACCTACCTTTGTGATCCCACAGGAGCACTTGGTGGCAGAACCCGAACCCCAGAGGCACTCTAACTATGCAAAAACCCTTCTTGCAGTATTGTGCAATGAGCTGCTCACTAGTATTGTTTTGCAAATTACATTTTTCTTTCTAGATGTAGTGACTGCATTTCACTTTTTTCAGAACAGTTTATAAATGTATAAAGACTGAACCGTAGCCTTGACTTTCAAAGTACTTGACAGCCCATCTTCGCTTTTTATGCAATGCCCTGTATTTCAGTTCACATTTATTAAAATACTGAACAGTCCTTAACCTAAGAGGGTCCTCAGGGACTATACTTGATATGTCTTCCTTATTTGCCAGTGAAGTACTAAAAACTGCTCACAGTGCTCAGAGACATGCACAAATTCAAAGACAAGCAAGGTCATGAACTTCAATGTAGCAACTAATTCAGAGTGGCAGTCTGCATGCGTGCTCCTACCTGTGAGAAACAGACTTGTTTCCATTGTAGGGTAAGAACATGTATGCACGCAGGTGACCTCAGAGCAAAAGGTATGCTGCTGGATAGACTAAGATGTGTAACTGCAGCATGTTATTTGCTGCTCAACATGGCTAGCACGTCTTTGCAGCCAGCTGCGTGCTCACTGCATAATATTCTCATCTTGGGCATTTTTGCCATACTGGGTTTCGGAGAACAGAACATAAAACTGATGTCCAGAGTCCTACTAAAATATCTGGTATAGATCACTTGAACAAATATGCTGCACAAGTGCACCACTTCCGACTGGCTTTTCGTAATTTCTGAGTCCTCTGGCCAGCACTGCAAGAGATACTCAACTCCAGCCTTAGGAGAACCTTGTGAACCATTGGTGTCAGTGTCCATTCCTTAAAAAACTGGAATTTTCCTTGTTGCAACACGTTTGTTGCCTCCAGCCCTACCACTGCACCCAGGTGAGAAGAGTCTTGCTTAATCTTCATTATTATCACCCATAAGACACACTTATCTAAAAGCTAAAGCTAAAAAAAGGAAAGCTCTCTAAACTGCCTTTCTCTTCTCTGAACTGGGAAAAAAAACAGTCCTCTCAACCTCTCCTAAAATGTTTTCCAAATAATGTTTTACATTAAAAATGCTTTTTAACTGTAACTGCCGAAACGTTCAGAGAGACTTGTAACGTATAGTCACACCAAGACCAAGAACTAAGACCACCCTTGGTTATTTAATAAAGCCAAATAACTTAAAAGGAAATCTAGACAAAGGGACAGCCCTTTTCACAATGTCTCATGTAGTTGAAAAAGGATTTTATTTACAATATTTAAATGCATTACTGCGAAACAAACAACTTGGTTCACAGGCAGTGCACCCACTGCTGAACTGTCACTGCCTGACATCCTGTCTTATCTGCCAAATTGCTCATTAGGTTTGGCAATTTTCACCTGCGCCTCCAGTTTAGATTTCAGCAGGGAATAAACATCACTCTGCTTTAACAATCTTCCGCAGCGAGCTTCCAGCTTCTGCTCAGAAAGCACACGGGCTCACACAAAACACGCCTTGTGTTCCGCACGCTCAAAAAAATAATGCAGCTCAAGGGATGAAATACAACAATGGGAAGTTTAACTTAGGTTACAGAAAAACAACAAAAAATGGCGAAAGAGCCAGATAATGAGCGTCAGCCAGCTGCTTTCATCGATGAAGTACACTTTCCCAATGCAAAAGAACATAGGGGGTGTAGACCAGCATCATTTTTGTTTCCACATTTAGATGGGAAGATTCAATTTGATACAACCCCCTGCGTGCAAAGTACAGGCTATGTTTGTGCACGGGAAAGAGGGAATCCAGCTGAATATTACTACTCCAGCTGGACCTGATCTAGCTAACCTTTCCCTTGCTGAGAAGGCACGGGGGCGCGATCTATAAACAAACAAAGGGGTGGCATGGTAACCAGAACAAAGAGAAATCTCAGCTCCCCGACACCCAGCTCCAGCGCGTCCACACGGGGACCGGCCCGGCCTTACACCGCAGGTGAGTGGGTTCCAAGTGGGACGGAGCCTGGGCACGAGGAGCAGAGCGCAGCCCGCCAGCAAAAAGCACCAGGGACGTAAAACAAAACGTCTAAAATGCTGTAAACCAATTTCAGGCGGAATACTGTTTTTCATTTGTTAGAAGTAAAATATTCACCGCCAACCCTGCAATTAGCTAGAAAATTACAATAATTACAGCAATTTTGTATCCCATCTCCAATCCAATTAATAGATATATGACCTTGTCAACATGTAATAATCGGGATCTGCATCTACCACAAAACTGGATGGGTTTTATTTGCTGAATAGAACTTACACAGTAAGAAGATAATTATTTGAAATACTGAGAATACCATTTGTATGCTATGCTTCACTTCACAAATTATAAAGGAAATACAATAGGGATATTATTTCCATTTTCAATGTATATTTAAATGAAATTCTTGATAAAGGTAGGTTTAACATGGGATATTATTGCTGGACTGGGATCCTTAGCCTGTGGTGTGGAACATTTACAAATGAAATATATTGAATTGTCAACACCTCAAAAAAAAAAAAAAAGTAATAGCTATGTAAGACAACATGGTTGGTTTGCAATATTTATGACAAATCGTTTCACCAATTTTATTTTTTCACGATTTCATTAAAAACGTGTCAAAAGAGTTGTAATGCTTACCAGCAGTTTTAAAGGTCTTACACGTTTCTACAGGCCTTTGTATTGCTGGGTCTCAAAGAAGTTTCGGGTCATTTTAGCAGCCAGTGAATTGGCCAAGTATTACACGAATGACACCAAAGATAAGTGAGCTGTCTGATATATCAGTGAATTTTATCTGCTCCATGTGATTGTGATGCACCAGCATCGATACACTAAATAGCACAGCAGATGATCACATTAAGGAAAAAACGTGTACGTATGATCTGCTCTGAGCCACTCCAAGCTGAAAAGTCAGAAGGACAGTTTTTGTCTTACAAATGGAACTGAGATATGCATTTAGCAATGGCATACTCCAGTGACAGCAAAACAAAAGGGCACTGCAATTGATGCTTTTTTTTTTATTCTTGCCTGCCATTTATCCTCTCCCTAATTTAATTCTGTATTTTAATTGAACACAGTCATAACTTGAAAAGACATGTGTTCAAGTCTTCATAACCTAATTCTTAAACATTGTTCTCTCAGTTTTACAGAAAACACTATGGAACAAAACCCTTCAAACTTTAAATAGAGAGTTGTAACTTTTCCATTTGTGTTTTTACCTCTCTACTAAAACATACATTTTATCCATTAAAGGAACGCCTACAGAAAAGTAATCTCTTGGGAATTACAAATCATTTTTTAAAAGACTTCAGAATATCAAAGGACTGACTGATGTGAACCTCTGCTATGAATTTTCTGGAATGGCATCACTACTTCAAAACTTCAGTGGAGGAAATGACAGATAGTATAACTAAAGGGGCACACTGCTCAGTCTAAAATTGTCTTGCTTGCATGATAGATTTAACAACAATGAGAACTGCACTGTAAATGTCATTTGGTACTTTTTTTTTCCTTTTTAGTAAGCTGAAATACTCAGAATCCTTCCCAAACAAGAATGCTGATCTATATATATTTAATACTTCGTGGTTTTGCAACTAGTCTACATTTCAAAATAAAGAAAATAAAGGGATTTTCCTGGCTATGGTTTACTTTTTTAGAAAAGCATCTTTTCCCAGCACAATAAATGTATGTATCACAAGGTGTTTTTAAGGAAAGGTGATGAGCATAACTAGCAACCTTAAGAGGTTCAGTAGAAAGCGTTCCTGACTAGTTTGCTTTTTTTTTTTTACCCTTTTCTTCATTAAACGCAATAAAATTGGCAAACTGAAAAATAGAGCATGAAGCAACTGCCTTTAGAAATTTTGCTGTGATTTTCAGCGTTAGGACAATTTTAATCCGGCAGCACATAGTTTATTGCACCTAAAAGCAGCTTATAAATAATTTATTAAAACAGAAAGGTTTATTTGCTTGCATGCAACCAGCATTTAAGCCATTTCTCAATTTTGATCAGCATTCAGTAAGGACAGATAATGAATCACATTCCCAACAGCATCAACGTAAGAACACTTGGCATCCCCCGAAGTGAAGATGAAACATGTTGAGCTATGAAGCACATTGACTTACTTGCACGGAGGACTGAAGGGGTGACCTCAATTTCACTTGTTGCTTGGTAGGGCTGAAAGGCTGATGCTGCGTTGGACCCCAACTCACTGCCAAAAATCTCAGGACTCTGTGTGCCTGTTGAGCTGGCACTGGTGCCGTCGCCTCCATGGTGAGGATCTTGCTCATCAAACACAGCCACCAGCTGCAAACGACATTTAATCAACTGTTAAAAAGAAACCTCGAGCAACATCAAAGTGCCACTGGAGATGAGCATTTCATCATTTCTTCCCATTAAAAAGAAAGGAATGCCCATAAGCACTGACTCAAATCAAGGCTTAGACCACAACCCAAGCCCAAAGAAATGCAGCTCTGCCCAAGGGAGGGCCAAGGGCCAGCAGCTCCAACACAGCACAGACCCCAGCACCGTGAGCACAGAGCAAGTCGTACCAAGCCAGGAAACGCAGTCTCATCTTTCCTAGCAAACCCCTCAATCTCACCCAGCAGTACAGAAACTGCTCAAAGCCTGTGCACTGGAGGTACCACCTGCCTGCTGATACCTCTCTATGCATCACTGTTATCAAGTCAAACCATTGCCAATTACACAATATTATGGAATAAAAATACACAATAAGAATCACAGACACAGAATCACACAGAATGGCCAGGGTTGGAAGGAACCTCAAGGATCATGAATCTCCAACCCCCCTGCCACATGCAGGGCCACCAACCTCCACATTCAATACTAGACCAGGCTGCCCAGGGCCCCATCCAATCTGGCCTCGAATACCTCCAGGGATGGGGCATCCACAACCTCTCTGGGCAGCCTGTTCCAGCACCTCACCACTCTCTCTGTAAAGAATTTCCCCTGACATCCAACCTAAATCTCCCATCCCTCAACTTAAAACCATTTCCCCTTGTCCTGCTGTTATCAACCCTTTCAAGGAGTTGATTCCCCTCCTGTTTGTAGGCTCCCTTTAGGTATTGAAAGGCTGCAATGAGGGCACCCCACAGCTTTCTTTTCTCCAGGCTGAACATGCCCAACCCCCTCAGCTCCTCCTTCATAGGGGAGGTGCTCCAGTCCCCTGATCATCTTGGTGGCTCTACTTCAGATCCTCTCCAACAGCTCTCTCTTTTTTGTACTGGGGACTCCAGACCTGGACACAGTACTCCAGAAGTTCACACATGCTGAAAGCTACAGAGTATGAAGTCACCCTAAAGGGTCAAATTGCTACAAGTTAGCTTATTGTCTATTAATCTGACATTTGTTAATGTCTACTAACACAATTTCAGCAGTGGGCTTCCCTTGCAAAATTTCACTAGTCAAATTTCCAAAAATATTTCTGTTGTTTGCATTCAGATTCTCCAAGAAAAAAGTAAGATCCAAAGCCCAATTTGAAACTTAGCCAAGACACTAATTTAATTATGATTTGCCAAACCTCTGTTCACCATTGTGAGAGAAACAGGAAAAACATCATGGCTTTTTCAGTAAATCTAACATTTTTTCCACAATTTCTGAATGCTTTTATTTGAAAATAATTTCTCCCATTTTATTTGTGGGGACTCACTGAAAGGGAAAAGGCCAGCTCTCGTACACATTCAATTTTCAAGATGGGTAGAGAAGTCCTATGGATAACAGCATTCTGCAGCCTACAAATTAATCTATAATGTAATATCTGAAAGACACTTCTAAGAATGCATTACATTCTTCTGACCATATTGGTAGGGTAAATGGAGCAAATCAGCTTAAACCTGCGCTGATCTCTGCAAATTGTTTGTTTTAACGACACTTAGGGCTTCCTATTACCAGAAGGAACCAGAAGTCATTTTTATCTTTTTATTTTTCTTTTTTTCTTTGAGTGAATTTGACATCATCTCATCCTACAGATTTTAACCACAGTCCCATAACTCCAATCTGATCTATGCAAACATTAGTTGAAATAAATAAATAAATAAACAGATTAAAAATTGCAACTGGAAGCCCAAATGGAAATCATTTGGGAATAGAGCTTCTGAAACTACTTTCAGGCATTAACATTTTGTTGGGTTTTTTTTGTTGCTGGTTTGCTTTTTTTTTTTTTAATGAGTAGTTCTGAAACTGCAGAGAGTAGCCAGCTTCTGCCAATAATTCCATTCCTAATGCAAATTTAGGCTCTGGCATGTGCAAAAGAGAAAGAACAAATCAGTAATGGGTAAAAGTCAGTGCTCTCTGCAGGGCTATTTGGAAGGTAGGCAGCAGAAGGAAAAGCAGGCTGCAACAGCAGATAGAGTGGGTGGTTTTAACAAACGGTTCACCATTTTATATTTGAGAAACCAGTATATGATGAGATGGCACCAAAAGAGTTGGGACAATATCTAAAACATGAGTACATCAATAGTATGAGACAGCTAATTCTGTAACATGCTGAGAAATACCAATACTTACACAAATTGAAATGCATTTCTCAAAAGCAGCACACTTTACACTTCTAACAATTTGACTGTTTTGTATAACAGCTAATTATCAATCTCCAGCAACGGAAAATAAATTAATCCACAAGTGAAAATGTGGAAGGCATTGGTACACAAAGGATGAACGTAAGAATTCCAAGGATGAAGCATCAAATCTTCTACTTTCCACAGCATGTATCAAGATAAATCCCTAAATTACATTCTGCTCCTTTGAGGCTAACTGAAAAATAACACTGCATGCTCCTGCAAGGATTTGTGAATACATTAAACATATTAAAAAGTATGTTCATATCAATATATATATACACATGCATGTTCCACTGTAAGTTGCCTCCAGCTTTTTGCCTATTCCAAGCAGCTTACAACCTATGACTTCAGAACACCTAAAACAGAATGCTTCTCATTTCAAGCTCAGCTTTTGATCTTAGGTATTTTCACAGGTAATTCACCATTTTGACAGCATCAAACCTTCAAAAGGCTTCAGTTCCAATAAGAAGCATACTAAGTTGTAACATTCTTGCATACAACCTGTAAAGAAACACAAGCCATGATAGCTTTCTCCAAGCCTAATTAGCTTTGCATTAATTCTGCAGTAGTGGCATCCCGAACAACAAGCAAATCTTGACGACTGAAAGACCTACAGTGAATTACAGCTTGGACCTTGACTTCCAGAGCTTGGTATTCCACTCTTAGGGTGGCAGTGAGATTACAGGAAACAAGGGAAAACAACGTATCTTCCACCATACTCACACACTGAGAATTATGTTATGGATTCTCCAGTATTTTTCCTCAAAGGCAATTCCTTGAGGAGTGACATAAGGAGCAACACACAGCTGTACTTTGTGAAGCCCACAAGCCCGTGAGATCACTACCACGGAGGCAAACATTAAGAGAATCCATCGGGCTACTTGGACACAGGCCATCCATATCAGGAGGTCACTGGACTCACCAAGAAACCACAGCAGTAACAGATGCTTTGTGCCAAGGAAGCAATAACCTGTCAGCAAGGTGCCAGGCATGTTCAAAGGCCAGGTGGCAAAGCACGTAACACAGATTACTGGAGTAGCTGTTTGTAGCCTTCAAGTCAATGCTAAACTGATCAAATTTTGAAAGGTTTTAAATAGCAGGTTTACAAAGAGCACAGAAAACAAAGATGATTATTGTGCCTGAAAACAACAGCATCTGTGCAGAAACAACTTCCAGGTTGGTGCTTTCTCCTCTCATTTTTTCTCTTTTTTAGCTCCTTTTTTAAACACAACTGAAATTACCATAGTTGCACCCTATGCCCATTTTGAAATCAAGTGGACTGCATACCTCTTTCCCGAATTATTCTGTAATGATTACTTCCAATGCATGACACAGGTTTGTCTCCTGTTCTCCATCTTACAATTCTGGATTTGCCATGACCTGAGGAATCCACTACACAAATCATTCTCACACTGGAAATCAGTGAAAGGGACGAACAAACCGTAACAAAGCACAAGGAAAGAAAGCAGATAAGCTGATTAATATTAGATCAGGTCTTTAAAAGACTTTCCACCAAAATTTTGTGAAAATTGGAGTTGCTTAGTTTGTCTGAATTCATCCTGCAGTCACAGACCAAAGTCATATCAGCAACAGGACTAAATAAGTAATAATAATACTAATAGTAACAATATTTCAAGCCATTTCTCCCCTCTCCACCCCACCAATCCAGGGGACCTGAATCTGAACTCAAAGAATTGAAGCTATGGTTAACAGGCTACAGCAGGACACACTGCTTGCAGTTTTCAACCACTGAATAAAAAATCTGGAACTAAGAAATAAAACTCAGTAGCAAAAAATCAATCTTTTATCCTGAAACAAATAAATGGTAGGCTTAATTCAGACTGACATATTTGCATTTACAATTATAACAGCAATAGAAAGGAGATTTCAATACAGAGCCACATTCCTCATCAATGTAAACTGGCATGAGAAAAAAACAGCAGTTTGAACAGGCTGGGAATTTGGTCCCTAGTGAAAGCATATTAGTTTTTCCAAGAAGAAAAATGTGTTTAATATTCTGTAGCAGTTACAAATATGAAGAGAGTTGCTTTGTTTAGATTACCACCTATGGAAACGCTCTGCCAATTTCCCCAGCACTTATCTCCAGTCTTTAGCAATGTGTGAAAGGGAATCCATCATAAACTTTTCTCTTTCTTCAGCCAGGACTGGACATATCACACTAGACAGGTTACATGTACTCATATAAATAAAAAGCAAGAAGGATGATTTATTCTACTATTGACAGATAGCAGCAGTTTGCATTCCAGTATTCATTATAACAATTTCCTTTGATTCCTAGATAATTAAAAATTAGTAAACACATATGAAGTCTTAATTAATACACTAGATTAAGTACTTGAATTTTAATTAACTGGATTTAAAAAGAAACATTCGCTAGCAAGACTTGTTTACATTTTGATTAAATCCTAAGACCATATAAAACAATTCATCACTCTTACAGTGCAATTAGTTCATCCAAAACCAGAAATCCTCTACTTCACAAAAACCATAAAGCCAGAACGTCTAGCTGTATTTTTCCTATGACATGAAAGACGGACAAAATGATCACCTGTATTTTATATATTCCTAAGCATCTCTCCAAAACCTGTGAATTCTTTAATAATATACTGATGAATCTGATGCTGGCTCCTGTGTAGGCATCAACACCTGTTAAAAACCCTTTTTTGATATTTTTTTTTCCCCAATAATTAAAAGTTATTTTAAATA